ATGCACCATGAAACTGTAATTTCCTGGCAGCATTTCAGAAGCATATTTCTGTTAGAAATGAAAGAACTGAAGTTCACATTCAGAGTAATGGAAGCAAAAAAAACCACATATATTCCAAATAGTTGCTGGGGGATAGTTTTGTACGTGTGCACATTATGCTCCTGTGCCACTGATTTTATAATTTTTACTAGAGATTAAGTACATCTCTGTACCTACTAGGTTATCGCTTTACTGGTGTGATTACAGACAGAATTCTGTATCTGTAAACTTTGAGTATTCCCTGCAAAAACAAGTAGCTCTGTCAGGTCAAATGGATCTGAATGGTCAAATGAAGTTATTAGCTCTCCGATACTGCTAACTAGTTAAAATAATTTGGTACTACACAATGTTAATAACGTGTTGTATGGCACACTGGAGTGGAGAAGGTCGTTGCCTTTAAATGAAAAATGTATAGTAGTTAGCGTTTGTGATCAGATATTTCTATTTTTGGCAGAAAAACCATGAGGGCATATGAAAGAGAGCAGCCTGTGCCAGGTTCTTCCTGTGATCATCTCAGTCCTGATGAGCTTTCTCTCTGTGCCTGAGTATGAGAAATTGAATAGTTTGGCAAACTCTGAAGACTTCAAAAGCCTATATACTTCTAAATAAAATATTTGTTTTATTTTTAGCTAGAATCAGGAAGCTTTTTGAAATTTCTCTGTTACTTATTTAAGAATTGTTTTAGCATATTTTTATTTGGCTTGCTGAAATACTCTTGTCAGATGTTCTGTCTAGGGTCTTTCACCAAACAAAAACCACATGGGCGTTAATTTAAAGGTAGAAATTTGGGTATGTCTCCAGACTTGCAGCTTGTAGCACACAGGTGGCCTCGTGGCAAAGGAGATCCACACCTTTTAGGGAAGCCTGGGTTTCTTCCCACATGTAATGTGGATGAAAGAGGAAAGAAACCATGCGAGAATTTGAGCTGAGATGCATACATCTCCTAATTCTGATAATGCCTCCAATTGTTCCTGAAGCGTATTAGGGAGTGCTAACCAATGTGTGTGTTCGTGCTGGGAAGGGAGCAGGGGCAGGTGGCAGTCATGCCTAAAGCTGGGGTGCCTGGCTCAGCTGCGGGCACAGCACTTGCAAAGGCATCTATCTCAGCGTGCGGGCAGCGACGTTCAGCATGAGGTCTGACAGCTGCAAGAAGCTGTTCTAGCCCTTCAGCTGTGAATACCTTTTCTTTTTACTTAAGCCACAACAACAGCAGATGATGAAATCCCATGGTTGAAGCCCTGGGTTCAGGCTTGGTAAAATCTGGAACATAACTATAATCTTAAATACATGGTTAAGTGCTTTTGCGTATCAGATTTTAAGGGAAAGGGCAGGAGGGAAATAGGAAAATACCAGCATCTGTTTTAGGCCATTGCTATTTAAGTCACACTATTTTTGTACAATTATCTGCAATGCAACAAAGCCTGTAGAAAAGACCCTCGTTACTTGCTTTTGTGTTGTTGCCATGCAAAGCAGTAAAAAGATCAGAAAGCTGCTAACCAAGCCTGATCTGTTCCTTGCGTTGCCAGCGATACTTTAAACTATATGGGCAGACCTTGTGGTTGATTACCACCACTACGGGCAAGCCCCCTCCTGCAGCCTGCCTTCCTGTGGACTTGTCTGTCATTCCACCACTGGAATCCCAGCTCTTCCTCCTCCCTGGCCACCGACCACCTCGTGTGGTGTCCTAGCGGGGTCCGTGGGGTGTTCTCGGCTCCTGGCCGTGCTGCCGCTGCTGGCTGGGCGGCGGGCTGCCCGCTTCTGGGGAAACTCTGGTGGTGGACCAGTCCCTGGACGAGTGCTGGCTGCCTGGCGCTGAGCTCAACACGGTGCTGTCTTTCCCTCAGTGGAAGCTCCAGTCTGGGGATGATGGACACAGATGCCTCTCTTTGGTTCCCTAAACTAGACTAGGTAATGGCGTGGGCAGTGTCTGTGTTCCCAGTCTTTTCTCCGTCATGGTGTGCTTGCCCAGCCTTTGGAAATCTATTAGGGAGGGACATACAGAGTGACAGATTGCATAATCTCATCAGCTCCTGTTTCCTTTGGTCACTGAGCTAATATCAGAAAAGGGACAGAAAGTTATTGTCAGGAAAGGAAAATAAGTGTTTTAAAGGACTTACATATTTTCAGTTAAAATGCAGTTGTGGATAATCTAATGTCGAAAGTAAGGTTTTATGTTATTAGTGTCTCTGCATGTTTTTTAGAGTCCCCAAACATTTACTTTGGGAGCTTAAAGGATATATAAATAAGGGAACACATACTAACATATATGCATCAGAGAAATATGAAATTTTGAGGCAAGTTTTGCTAATATCCTTTTAAAATGTTTTACTGTGATATTTTGTAAGTTAATGAATTTCAGTATGTGACAATTACCTGGAATGTCGTTTAGTAAGTTAGCTAGCTTGTTAATACAAATTATTTTTTTTTGCATTGAAAAGTATGTGAATTGTGACATGTTTTGAACACTTCCAGCTGAGCATGCTTGTGATGAGATACAAAGGTGTATTTCAGTGGTGTGACCTCATTCTTTTCTCACATATAATTTTTTTTCCCCACATTCTGATTTTGTTATTTTGTCTCTTCTGTTTGATTCTTGAAAGAAACAACTTTCTAGTTTTGGTTCTTCAGGAAAGTTTAAAGTAGATGGAAGTTTGATTTCTGGACATCATATAATGATCACCTAATTAACCATAATAAATTACATTTCATAATCAGAAAGAACTGTAACATTTGACACAGTTTTTGACATGTCAGACTTGAACAATGAGCTAGATGGAAATTGTTGAAATACAGCCTATGATAACAATACAAGTCATAATTGAAATAATCTGGTTTGTAGTTATTTTTATAATAAATTTTCAAAATACATATGCTGTGACAAAATCAGAATTCATCAGATACATGGTAATGTATTCATAAATAAGAGGCATGCATGTATGTTGGGATGTGGCAGTGATTTGTTTTTTTTTTAATTGGACAACTTGGACTGTCATACTGAAGTTGAACCATAAGTAAGATTCAAATAATTCTTGTGTGTAAAACTTGAAATTGAAAAACAGTGCTCAGTCTTCACTATTTATGTGAGACATAAAGAATTAGTGTGTTTGGGAGTTTTGAGATTATAATCTGGTTACCTAGTTTATTTAAATTAACAGTTCATTGGGGGTGGTGTATAGCTGCTCCTCTTATCCCTTTCACACTTTATCATGGAGCACTGCTCAGCTGCAGTCTGTTGGTGTGTGAGACTCTTACAGGAGTGTTAATTTTGAGTTCATTGGAAGGAAAATTCCCTTTAAAAGGAGAAGGAAGATCAGATCAACGTTCTTAAGCATTATAGTTTTGATTTGGCATCTGAAGTGAATCACAATTACTTTGAAGTAGCTTCAGCCACTTCCTATACAACTCCAAGACAAATGATTCCTAGCAGATTGTCTTTCAGCAAATAGCATTACATATTTTCTCTCGTACTGAAGTATTTGTGTAGTTTTTCAGTAAGTGTGAGAAAACTCAAGGTGTAGGGTAGAGCCTGTTTGTTCATCTCTGTGTACCAGCCCCTTTCCTTCCCCTGAGGGATGGGTGGCAGGTTTCCCAGGTCTTGAACTATGGAAGAACAGTGGTGTTTCTCACATGCTGCTCTCGACAGATGCCAAATGGAAATGCCATTCACTGGAGATAATAAAGACAGTAAGAGTTTGATATTACTTCTGCTGTCGTTTCTAACATCAAGCCTTGGAAATGGCCAGGGCAGATTCAACTTGACAGATGGGTGTGAAATTGGATTTTTGTCTTGGACATCAACTCCTATAGTTGCTTAACTCACACTTAGACTCACACTTAGACTTTTATTTCTCTATTTGCACACACACATTCTTACCTATATATACGTTTGTGTGTAATGTATAAATGCAGGAAGTCTGTATTTCTGGTCCTTAAAGTAAATTGTCAGGTGCTGGAGGTGCAGCCTCTTCTCTGGTTCGAGCGTGTTCTGCCTGAGTTTGCACAGGCTGCTAGAGGAGGAAAATTGCCCCACACTGAAGCTTGGCAGTCAGGACTGAGCAGTGAGATCCTCTCACAGACTGACAAGGCCCGTGCTTTACAAAAGCTCCTCTTATTCCTTTTGGACACAGGTTGCTGGGTGTGCCTGGCAGTTCTCACATTACTCTTAGACTTCCTGACTTCTCAGGTCAGAAGTGGGGAAAAGCTGTGGCCATAGCAGCCTGATCCTGTTTCCTTGTGGCAACAAACATGAAACACCGCCGCCTGTAGAGTGGCATCTTCATGTTGTATGATCATCAGAGCTGTAGTTAATTGTGGGTGTTCTGTTGTTTGTCATTAAACCTCAGCTTCAGTCTCCCTTGGGACGTACGAAGAAGCTTCTGAGTTCTTATTAAGGCTCTGTGTCACTATAAGAGGTTATTTTTGCAGCAGTTGCACCTTATTTGTCTTTCTGACGGTTTCATTACAGCTGAAATCTGTGGAGATTTTACTTTCTGTTTTTAAATAAAATCTGACAGTTAATGAACAAAGGTGGCATCCCTCCAGAAAGACGATTGCCAATTTTTTTGTAGCGAGGCCTGGCACGTTGGTGACATGGCTTACAAAATCTGTCTTGAATGGTTCTTTTCCTAGTCTCCTGGTGTTGAAGCACCGTGTCCCTCTGTGTACACTTGTGTGTGTCACTTGTACCATACTCTGTGCTTCTGCTTTGCCTGAAAGGCTGTTAGTAAAGGATTTCTTACTGCATTTCTCTCATTTTCTTCTGGAGGTGATGCCCGAGCTCTGTGTGCTAGTTCCTCGTTTCTTTGCAAGAATTATTTCAGAGGTGCTCTCATTAGAACTGGGAGTGGGTCTTGCAAGTATCCCAACAATGATATGAAGGTCAGAGAAAGAATTTACTTGGGGGAGAGGGAGGTGTACCTTTGGTGGCAGATCAGGGATCTGGAATGAGGTGTCCATGAGATTTTTAGCTACAGTGGGTTTGGTGTAGGTGGGGTAGAGGAGACTGAAAGGAGTGATCCCCAGTTCTGGCTGTCCTCACAGCTGTGCTGGTGGAAATGATGCTGTGAGGGAAGGAAACAAAGTGTGTGGAAAGAATTAAGCAAACTTCCTGCTGCTCTCTGTTGAGCTGTGTCTGTGTGTGTTCATCTCAGCTACCGTTTCCTCTTTTCCATAGGTTGTAGGGGATGGTTGGTGTATATGAGGGTATAGGTTGTATAAATATCAGAACAAGCTGTTGTGGAGAGCCACACGATTGCACAGTTTGTTTTTGCGGTCACTGAAGTTTCCAACTGCTTTTAATGTCCAGGGAATGAAAAGTACTGCTGTAAAATGGATGAATGCTACACCACCAGTGGCATAAATTTGCATAGGGTTCCTCCCTTCTGCTTACAGCCTGGAGTTCCTCGTGTTTTAGTTGTTTCGCTTCTCCAGACAGCTGAACTTCTGCCATTAATGGAAGTTTCATCAGCTGACTTACTGGGCAATACTGATAAGCAGTGTTCTGTTAAGCCCAGCTACTGAGCATCAGATTGGAGCACCAGCTTCCTTCCATCATCCGTGACTGATGAATTTTGTTTCAATGGTGCTTCTCATACCTGACTGAAAATATAATTATTTGTTCTTTAAGTGTCATTTAGGCTTTTCTTCCTAAAATGAAATTTTTGAACTATTTTCATAACCATTACTTTTTCAGATAGATGGAGAGAACAAGGGGATGATCTAAAGTTGTTGTAGGGCCTGGTCATTTCAATGGACAGGAAAAAAAAAAAAAAAAAAAAGGAAAATAACCCCCTGAGTAAACCAGTAATTAGCTAGTAACTTTTTGAGGAAGAAATTTGTCATCTGATGCATTATCTTTTTCCCCTCTAGTTGCAGATCCATATATTGATATATCATGATCTTACTCTGCCTTTTCTTTTGTGTTCCATTAAGTGCCCTAAATCACAGTTGTTAAAGAATGCAGACTGAGTGTTTTCTGCTCTTCAAGTAATAGTTGTAGCATGAAAGATCTCTGGCTTATGTCATAGCAAGAGTGGTTTGCTCTGATGGAAATGTGTATTGCACCATTGGAAAGAAATTGTTGTATTTGAAATTTTGACTTGAGAAAGAAGGAAATTTGTCTTAAGCTTGTATTTTCATATGAAAAGTTTTAATTCATGTGAAATGACATTTTCTGATCTGGAAAAATTATCCTAGTTGGGGAAGTAGTAAAATTGTAAACCTGCTATCTAATGGATTTTTTTTCCCCCATGCTGAATTTATCTGATGTTTTTACTTCAGTTGCTGAGAACTGTGCAACTGTCTGTTAAAAGAATGTGCAGTGGTGGCCACTTGGCCTTCAGTAGAGTGTGGTGGGTTTTTTACTTTTTGAATGTTCTTCTCTGACAGAAAATTATCTGAGAATGTTCTTCTCCGAGACAGAATGTTCTTCTCTGCACAGCTCTCTTCAGAGCTGCTTCTAATACTAGTTCATATAGATCTCTCCTAGCTTTAAAAAAAAAAAAAAAGTCTTGTGTGTGGAACATTAGTAAAATAACAGTGACTCATACTATTGTAAAAAACTATCATCAAAAAGAAGTTTTTACAGTGTACATCATGTACCATGATTGTCTCATGCACTGAACTTGGTGAGGGGAGAGGATTTAAAAGGCAGTTCTGCTTCTTTTCCTAAAAACTAAACAAATTAGTTGTTTGTGTTCTGGAGTTGAGGAGAGAGGTAACGTGAACCTAGTGAAAACCACAGGCAAAATCTGGTGACGTCACTGACCCATGAAGTTACCTGTTACATAGAAAGGGAAATTGATAAACTATCGTCAGGGTGCGTGTTGTAAAGTGTGTGTGAGGAGGTGACACCAAAGGGCTTCAAGGTACAAACCAAAACATTGTCAACTCCCCCTCCCTTTTGTAACATCATCCACACTAAACTGCTGTACCGCTTTGGGCTGGCAGCATGCAGCGTGACATTCCATAAGGAGTATACCTTCCAGTTAAAATCTTTGGCCTGCTTCTGGAGGAGAAGGTGGATAGCAAAGCTGGTTCAAAAGAGAGGCAAGGAGTCCTGCCAGTGAGCTGTGAGTGAGTACCAGTGATTTGGTGCTGGGAAATACTGCACTGCACTGTGAAAGTAGTGGGCAGGATTAGGTCCAGCAACTCACGTAAGCATGAACTGGCCTTTTATCAAATATAAAAGATATTTTTACATTCACATAATTTCTTCTAAAGGTAAGGTCAGACGTAGGCCTCAATCCTGCCAAAAACCCAATGCATTGTGCATTCTATGCTCTCTGTGTAGTCCTTTTTGCCTTTGCTGTTTATACCACCCTGTTTGGGTGAAGTACCTGGAGATGCCTTTGCCTGATATCTGTGTGGGTAATTAGAACAGCCTGAAGAGTTTCTAGGTAATTATCTTTATGCAGCTCAATTTGTCTGCAAGTCATGTGAGAGTGATACTTGGAAATTAGCCGCGTTGTGCTATTAGCTAGATTCTGAACTACCGTTTTTGGGATTGACTGTAATGTCTTAGTAGAAGTTAGAGACTCATCTGCCTCTCCACAGACCTACTCATTTGATCTGGGGTGTAGAGAAAAAGAATTTGATTTCCTGGTAGTTAGTTGGCTGCTTTCAATTGTAGTAATTTTTTTTTTTTTTTTTTTTCTTGGTCCCTTTCAGCTTGTACCTCCTTTTAAACCTCAAGTGACATCTGAGACAGACACCAGGTATTTTGATGAAGAATTCACAGCTCAGACTATTACAATAACACCGCCTGAAAAATGTAAGTCAGAATTAAGTTATTATGCATAACTTAAAGATAATCAGTTTGTAATAAAGCACTATGGAATTTTTTTTTCTGTTCGAATGAAGAAGCTTTTCTTGCTGTTATTAATAAAGACCTTCACACAGAAGTGCACGAAATGAGTCTCAATGACAGTGTTCTTTTAAAGAAGGAGTAATTATAGAGCTGAGAACATTACATCACTCTGGCTTGGTTTTGGGGGGCATTTTTGGTGTGGTTTTGTTTTTGTTTTCGTTGTTTGAAGTTTTGGGGGTTTGTTTTTTCTTTTTTCTTCCCTTTATATAAGAGAAAACAGCAGCTCAAATGTTTGCTGGTTGGCAGTCAGGTTCCCAGTTCAACAAGCGACTTGGAACATGGACTGTTCTTCAAGCATGAGGACACTGCTAGTGGCTTCCAGTGGGTTCAGTGAGTTAGGCATATTTGAAAATACTTTGAAGACTAAGAGAAAAAAAATGCTGCCAGAGACAAGTGGGTGTCTGTTGTGTAGATGTCAGTTACTTGAAAATGAAACTTCCTATCAAGTCCTGTGCTTCAGCAGAGCTCTTAAGTAACATATGAATATAGATGTAACTGCTGCACTGGGCCTTGCACAGTTTCTTCGTTGGAGTGAATGAATTTTGCCACAGTCTCTATTTTTGTCATCTCCTGCTATACACGCCAGAATCATGATCTGATCAGCCAAGCTAGGGCTTAACAGAGTTACTTATGAAGCCAGAGCAGTTAAAATCTTGCTGCTGAGTTCTTGAATGAATTTCCTTTCTAAGTAAGATTTATTGAATTATTTAATTGGAGAATGGGGAAGGAGGATCATAAAGACAGGCAATAAAAACTATAGTTAAGGTTGATTACCCTTTCATAGAACTAGCTCATTTTTTGGTGCTTAGGATTCCCAGGTTTAGCTGCAGTTTTCTGTTGGTGTAGGGATCTGGAATATTTTCTGGATTTTGCATTTTTAGTGTTTGAACACATTCATTTAAGTGATTCTTAAGTCTTTCTGCTGTGAAAATAAATAACCCTTTCTTCTCCCATCTATCTTGATAAGAATTTGTTCGTATTTTTAATTTGAACAAATTCTGCTAAAATTTGGATTAATGTGGAGTTGATTCAATATCAGAAAGATAGGCAATGAGAATGGCTGTTTATCTGTCGATGGCTGAAGCAGTACAAAATACGTGTATCCCACCAAGACTGCAGCTGTGTATTTGTTGAATGCAGAGCAGGTGATCACTACCAATGTGGGGAGTCAACCTACTGACCTAAAATACCATCTTGGCCTCTGGTGGTGGCCTGGCTGCTGCAGCATGGAACTCAGCATGGGCTGCGGCCCCACCCCAATCATACAAACACTAAAACGGGGGGTGACACCCAGCAGCAGTGCAGAGATTAGCTGCTGAGGTAGGAAGTCCTCCCAGCTGCCTCACCTCAGGCTGCAGTAATTGTATTGCAACAGTTTTTCTTTTGAAATCTACAAGTAATTGTATATAGTATAGTTACAGAATAGTTTATTGTTTTATTATTTTATTTATTAACAGTTTATTATGAGTTCTATACAGAACTGATAGTTACAGAAATAATTTTGATAATGTTTTAGGCCAGGTATTTAGATAGCAAAAATTCTACAAATCACACTGAGTGACTGTTGAAACTATATCTTGTATCTACTGTGATCAAGCTGATAACAAACCAGACAAGCTCTGTTCATTAACTTAATTTTACAGTGTAAAAGGGAGATTCTATTTGAAGTCACAGAACTGAGAGGCATTGTTGAAGGCAAGCCGCCCAATCATAGCAGTTGGTCAAAGTTGCATTAATTCCAGTTTTCATATGTAGAATATGTGAAGACACAAAAGATGCATAATTCTGAAAGGCTGCACGTAAACGCATTGTTAGAATAACAGTTTCAGTAGGAGTCTTTAAGGATAAGTGCTATTAAAAAGTCCATGTGAGAATCTAGATCCAAATTCTCAGAGTTGGGCAACATCTGGTGCCTGGTTTCCTTTGGCAATGCAGGAATTACATAAATAAAAATATTTATGAACTTGGCGTAGTCCATGCTTCCTCTGATCCCAGTAAATACTGTAAAAATAAACAGTTTACTAAAAGATAATTTGTAAGAATTGAAACACATAGAACCTGCATGAATTGTTCATTTGGTAGCTGTTTTTCCTTATAATTCCCTTCAAAACAGAGGAACACTTAAACGTATCTACAACGAGGTTATAATTTCCTGAACTCAGCTCAAGAAAGGATGAGAACTGGCTGCTTCAATCATCGGCCGGCTCCTGTGCTACCAGGAGCTGGATGCGCTGCCATGTTTTGGTCAGCCTAGGACAGGTAGCAATGATTGATGTTCTCGGGCGATGATAGTCATAATAAAGCGAACAAAGCACCCCACCCTCCCACCCTGAGAGGATGTCCTTTCAGTGAGCATCGCTCCACCGCGTGAGCATGAGCTTACGTGACTGAAGTCTTACTTTAACATGAGCATTTAACTTCAGCGTCCAACCCCGAGAAATGTGCTGCGTATCGGGTGGATAATGAGATTTTATTGCACGTCTGATGATGTTCTTAACTCCTCCCTTAATGCAGATGACGAGGATGGTATGGACTGCATGGACAATGAGAGGCGGCCGCATTTCCCCCAGTTTTCCTACTCTGCAAGTGGACGAGAATAACTTCTTTGTTCTGCTGCTTCACTGTCATCTTAGGTTAATCACTGAAAATGATTCCTGAACATCACCACAAGTACTAGATACTATTTAAGATAGCAGGGGCACTTTCAGAGACCGTTCCAAATTGAACAAGTTTCTTTCCCAAACCTACCTAAAATCTGTTTTGGTTTTGCATGAAATGAGAGTTTTTCTCTTACTACGCTCTCCTGCTGTTGCTGCTGCCCACAGTCTCAGTATAATAGCAACGTCAAGAAGTTACTAACAGTTTCTTTGAAGGTAGATGACTTGACTTCAGCATTGTACGCTTTGTGCACAAGTAGTCATCTATTTTTCATCACGGTGGAGGCTAAACAAAAAATGTGATGGTCCAGCTTATTTTCTTTCCGAAGATGAATCAAAATTGTAATTAGTCGAAAAAGACTAGTCTAATATATTTTCTGGCATCTGTTTGTGCTGGTTAGAACGAGGAAACGTAGGGGTGGTGATGTACATATGCAAAGTTTTTGTTAGGCATATCATTACTTGAAGCAGATCTCTGTCATTAACATCTGGCTGGAATTTGTTTGGGAAAAGTTTGAGAGAAGGACTTAAACTGTTGATATATATAAATATATATATATATATTATTTTTTAATTACTGTTGGATACTACAGAAGACGCAGAAGGGCTGGGATCACCCAGCCTACCACTTAGAACTTCCAGGTTCACGTGCAATCATGGAGAATTGAACATTATACATGCAAGAAATGAAGGCATAAAAGCAGCAGTTGAAGTTTTTTAAGGGGTCTTATAATTTGCACCAGATAACATCTTTCTCATGCTTTTCTTTTTCTTTCATGATATACGTCACCTCTGATGGCTGAAGAATGTAGACAGGCATAATGGTATTGCTTCTCACCAAAATGTGTGCACCAAGGTAAACAGGTGTTTGCCTTACTCGTTTTTTATTTTGAGTTTGTGGATTAGCTTTTTCTCCAGGTGTTTAACTCTGAATATTTTTTTTTCTTTTTTTGGGTTATACTGCAGTAGTATTTATTTTTAGAAATAAGGATTGTATGTGTCATGTTTGCAAATGCTGCTACATCTTAGGTAGAACAGGCTTATAGCAGTTAATTTTGTAATATATGGAAGGACTGTACAAGCTGAAGGGAATAATGCACTTTTCTCCCACGTGGAAATTTTAACAAGGCTCTGAAATTGTACATACTGCTTAGAGTCAGATTTTTGTGAATGAAATACTGTCTTTTAATTGTTTGGCAGTGGAAGTGAGGAATTCCAACTTCCTGTGCCAAAGAGTTAAAAACAAACAGACAAAAAAGCTACGTTTTGTGCTCCATGGAGGATAAACGTAACGTAAGAGCCTGACGGCACAATAGAAAATTTCTGTTCTATATGAAGGAATTGCATTTGAACAACGAGACCACAGTGATTACAAGAAAAGCACTTTATTTTAATAATTAAAATAGTAAATTTCTGGGATCGGCTGTTCTCAAGGAAGGTGTGCCCTCAACCAGAAGAGTCCCAAAACCCAGCGTGTTACATGTAACCGTGGTACCTGAATTTAAAACGTGACGAGAAATGCTCCACCGATAGGCCAGCGTCCTTCCATTTCCGAAGATCTGTATCTAACAGAACATGTGCATAGACTTTAGCTTTGAGCTTCAGCAATGATAATCTTAATAATAAACCCTTTGGTGCTAGGGGTCAGGAGGTTACACCGTGCAGCGGTCCTCGTGTCCAGGTAAGGACACCTGAGAACCCTGACTCCATGGGATTATCATTCGAAGCATCTCTGCGTTGGGATCTTGTCAGCTCCCACGAAGACTGTGATGCCGCAGAGCACTGCTGGGTGTGTTGTGTGAGTGAGTAGATGAGTCTGAAAGGAGAGATGTTCCTACGCAGATGCCTTAGCCTCTTGACGTGGACAGTTGAGTTGCCCTGGCATGAAGCCCACTGCTGGCAGTGCATGTGCTGGGACGGTCAAGGGGTAGATGGGCATTTTAGCAAGGCAGCTGAAGACGCAGACTAATTTAGACAATTTCGTGTTTTATCTTTAGTAATGGGTGGATAATCAGTCAGAAATATATCATGATGTATATTCTAACTATAGAGGATCTCGTTCTGTCACCTTGTAACACTAAACACGTGTAGAGATTATCCCTCTACGGCGAGAGGGGGCACGGCAGACGCGTTGCAGATCTGTTCTGCACGGCCAGCGTAGGGGTGTCTGCGCTGACGCGCTGAGCGAGTGACTGAAGTAACCGAGTCCTTCGTAGACGGGCATTAATTAGTTCTCTGCAAAGGTCTTGTGCTTAGAGACTAAAACTACGGTGATTCAAAATCTGTGTTCCATGCCTGTGTTTCTCCTCGTTTTCAGCTTGTAATAGCAATAAGCTTCTCGGCACAGGGCTCCCGCAGCTGGTGGCCCGGTGGCGCGGTGCCCGGCCGGCCGCCCCTCAGGAGGGAGCAGAAG